GGCAAAATGAAGTGAGTGAGAAGGAAGCTCATGGGATAAACAAACCGCTAACAAATCGGGTAGCTTACAGGATTTGAGATATCAATGTTTTGTAGCAGGATAGTTGTGATAACACTCTTAGGGCTATATAAACACCTGCTTAGCACACTTCCGTTCATTCCACATGGTGCTGCAGTGGCAGCTGGAGGGCAGTGGAGAGAGGAAGGGAGGATGAGGAAGGGAAGCGAAAAATCTACCGTCATATCATGATTGTGTCCCTTCTACTGTATGAAACACCATTGTGTTGCATACGCGTCACTTCCAGGAGGTGTTGGTGTCACAGGAGGAAGGGACCATAGCGGAGGATAGAAAGCTTGCGCAGGAAAGGAAGGTCCCGGCGGTTGACGGGGGACTAATCTGGTATCATATAATAGTTGTTGATTTCCAGGCTTGATAAAATGTGAGGAACCCAGCTGGCCGAAAGTAAGCCACCGCACAACCCGTCTCGAACCTAATTTTCCACTCGCGCGGGAGAAACTCGATCAAGCGCATGAGCCCGTGCCACTGCAGTCGACCTGACCTCTTGTGAACACTCCGATATTAGGTTATTCGAAAAACCTTGCCGCGATTCTTCTCGAACTTGATTTTCTGGTCGACCTCCGACCCACAAGTGTGCTACGAACTAACTCCTATTGTTCACATCATGTGACTTATCTTTCTCAAGCTTTTCCTTATTCATTTGGGTCACTGCCAAAACGATGATGAAATAATCCAGACGGAACTACCTCAGTGTACTTAGTCGCATATCTTCGCAGACCTGGTGCGATCAGTTTCTCGGAACGTCTCAGGCGGTAAAAAGTTTTTAGTCTAATTTTGACGAGGGAAGTCATGGGTGTGTGCACCATTGACTTTGGGTAGAAAACCAAATAAAATAAATAAAAACAAATAGAAAGCAGCGACACGATGTGCGCACACAAGCCTAATAGGCTTAATCTTGGTAGAAGAGTCATTACTAAGGGTGGAATGGTATAACAATGATTCGGATTCCTCCCACTGGAAAAAGACGTCACCAGCCAGCTGCCGGTCTGACAGTACGCAGCCTTTATTCGTCAACAAGCACCACAAAAGTGGTTATTACGAAAGCTATGGGAACCTCTGTCCTTCGGTTACGCAGAATAGTGTTTAATTCATTTCGTTCTTACCTTCTCACGATCGAAAATCCTTCGCAATCCGTATTTGTGCTTTTTCTTATTGGTGCATTCTGAAAGTCTCAGAGGGCACATCACCGGTGGCCGAGGCACATAAACCTGAAAGCCAGAGAAACGCTAGAACCGCTTTAGAGCCAATCAATTAGTACAGGAGGCGCAATGTGGCTGGGGGGGGGGGCAGTCGCCGCCGCGGCTTAGCGAAGTAGTGTAAACTCGAACATTCCAGCTTCTCACGGAACATTCCAGCTTCTCACGCATGTTAAGTGACTGCCCTCACCCCGACCCCCCCCCTGAATTGGCTACATTCCCCCTGGCTCACGAATTTCCTGCTGCCGCCACGCCGTAGAAACATTGCGCCTACAGGTACAATCGCAGAACGCAAAGGTTCCACTGTGGCTAATGAAGCCATGCCTAACTATTCCAGGCTTCTGTAAGAACAGCAAGCTCGAAAAAAGTGATGAGTTGGCCAACTTCAGCCGAGCTTGCCACCAGGACCAACCATGGTGCCGCGAAAAATCACCTTACAGGGCCCAATCCGCTTTCATTCTTCCCTTCCAGCAGCATCGATATTTTACTCTTATGAAAGAAGCGCTAGCAACTAAAAAATAGAATAGGTTCAAGAGGTAAAAAACATCAAACATTTTGTTTGATTTCTTCAACTTTCTCAAAATTCGCGATTCAGTTTGCTCTCGAGAAACCCTAAAATAACCCTTTGCAACCCCTAGTACCTCTTAGACAGACAGTAAGAGTCCTTGCAAGCAAGAATTTCTTCACAGAGTTCGTTATTTCCGCCCATTCCCACTAGTTTTCTATTGGGCACTTGATGCCCCACTCCTAAAAAAACTGAGCCGGGTTTTCATCGAAATTTGTCCGCGACTGTGGATTTGGCTACGAAGTTGTCACGGGGATATTTTATTCATAGAGCACGAATATCACATCCGTTTAGTGCGAAAATACCTGGCACCCGCGCCATAATTACTGGTGCCAAAAGGCGCCATACCTTGAATAACCCAATTTGCTGGAAACTTGTCATCAGAGTTGACCCGTATAACATGAATATCGCATCAGTTGGTTACGAGCGAGCTTGTATCTTGCACTGCGGGTGTTGGTCCAAAACTAATGTGGTAGCGCCGGCGCAGGTGGCAGGCGCTTTTGCGCTTAACTGGTGTCATGTTCGTGAAATACCGCACGAGACAGCTTTTCAGCCAAATCCTTAGTCATGGACAAATTCCGATGGAAATCCGGCTCAGTTTTCGAGGTGTGGGCAGTGAAGGTCAATAGTGCCAAATCGTGCTCTCATCAATCGGGGTCTCATCAGGGAGGCTAGAAGACTCACCTCAGGCAGGAAGAAAAATGAAAATATTTGTAAACAACTCTTCAGAAACTGACTTTGAGCTTGGATTTTGCTTCTAGTTGTGTATCAATGGCTTGAAGAAACGCCTTTGCCGTAAGATTCATATCTTTTGGCCTGAAGTATCTGCTCTTAAGATTGAAATCCTTACACGAGGTACTCATAAATACAATAAAATTGAAATTATGATCGGAAATGGGGTCCACGCATATAAGGACGTTTAGATTTGAAATAAGAAAGGAAGGCTCGACCTAAATTTAAAGGAGAAAAAAAAAAAAAACAAGTAAAACCGCTGATCCTGCAGGTATATGTGTATATTCACCACCTCTTGAAAACGAATATCTACGACTAAAGGTGGAGTTCGCGATGAAAAGACAGCTCATTAGAAATCCAGTAGAGCGGTCAGTGGTGCAGGGATGAAGAAAAAACCATGAGAAACGGCCCAGAACCCGAGAAATGGGACCCCTTCTTGCCCGTTGATTTCCGCATTGATGCGACTCATCGGTGCTGCCCTCTTCAACGCTAACGCTCTCTCTGCTAAACGGCTAGAGTCAGACGGCGAGAGGATGGCGTATCGCGGCGCGAGTATGGCCCTGCCCTGCCGCTGGATTCAACTCTTCGCTGCACGCGCACCTTCTGTACCCGCAGAGGACTCGCCTGCCTTTCAATAACTATTTTCACCTTTCGACCTCCGATCCTATCGTGGAATCCTTCAATAAGTAGAGATATGCAGAAATTTACGTGTAGAGGTACAGCTTGGCTCCTTGAACGTGCGATTCCAATTCCAACAGTTGTTCGCCATTGCTTGATGAATATCGAAAAAGTCCTTCACATGGCCAGACCTCAACCTGAAAATGAAATGGGAATTGACCCTAACCGCTTCCTATAAACCTATTATGGCCGCGTACGCAATACTTGCGTAGTAATGTTATTAATGAATGACTACTCATGAGAAAACCTCGACTGGGCTCATGCCAATGGTTGGTCCAGTTTTCATTCCTGGCCTTCTTACCAAACATTATATTATTGGTTGATAAGAAGGCCAAAAAACGAGAACTGAACTGACCACTGGCATGAACCCAGTCGAGGTTTTCTTACGATAGCCAGAGCTCTGTTTACTTTCAGGCTTTCACTTCCCTTGGTTGTAATCACCCATGGTTGGTTTCTTACCGATTTCTTTCTCTCTGGGCAAAATCCAGTACTTTGGAAATTTACTGTGATCGTGCTTTTCGTTCAGTAGCAATTTTGATTACCCAGAGGAACCGCTTAGGAATGAAAATGAAAATTTGAATACGGACAACGAGGACTCTAGCGCATGTCCCCTCTCCCCCTCCTAGTGGCCATGCCCCGCTTACCCTAAAGTCATATATGTGATAAGAGCGGTTCGTGCTTCCGATTACTGCTATTTGCTCAAGAAATTGAAAACAGTAGTTGGGCGACCAATCGTTTTTGGGCGCTCATGCCTGGGAAGGGGAAGGGAGGGGATAATCAAAACAGGGCCGATGATAGTCGAGAGTAGGATAAGCCCAACAGGGGAGAAACGTCAGGGGGAAACGCAATTGCTTACA